ACCATGCAAATGCAAGAATCCTTATTATCTGGGCTACCAACACTACCAAAAGAGACGACCGAAAACCTGAACAGCCCCATCGATGTAAGCGAAGTTGAATTAAATATAAAAGAGATGAAAAACGGGAAGGCCCCAGGCCCAGATGGTTTACCAGCCAGTTTTTACAAGAAATGGAGCAAGAGACTTGCACCTGTACTCTTAAATGTTTTCAAGGAATCGTACTGCAAAGAATGTCTACCTCCATCATTTCGGAAGGCACACACAGTGTTAATACCTAAATCCAAGGACTTAGACAAGCTTCAGAGGGTAGAAGGTTATCGACCTATAAGTTTAGTCAATAACGACTACAAAATTTTTGCACGCGTGCTAGCAGGTCGATTGCAAAGCGTAATATCTTTGATTGTTGGTGACCACCAGACTTGCTCCATCAAGGGAAGGAATATACAAACCAACCTTCACATAGTTCGATCTATAATAGAAATTTGCCAACAAACACACGAAGCCGCGGCAATTTTACAACTCGATCTTGCAAAGGCCTTTGATAAAGTCCAACACTCCTTTCTGTTCTCTCTTCTGAGGCACATACAAGTAGGAGAAAATGTCGAACGTGGGATAAAACTTTGTTATACTGACATATCAACCAAATTAATAGTCAACGGAACTCTTACACGATCAATAGAAGTTCAGCGTTCGGTCAGACAAGGATGCCCTTTGTCACCCCTTCTTTTTGATCTCTACCTTGAACCACTCTGCAGAAGCATCCTGAACGACAACAAAGTTCAAGGCTTTCGTCTCCACAGCTGCGAAGTCAAGCTTCTGGCCTACGCCGACGACGTTGTGCTTGTGTGCTCCAACAAGCCAAGCATAGAAAATGCAATGTCGCGCGTTTCGCATTTTTGTGCCGTGTCTGGTGCGGCAGTAAACAACGACAAAAGTTGCGGCTCGTGGTGTGGGGAGTGGGGGACGACTCCACCCCTATTTGTGAACATAAAATGGTCCACCGAGAAACCACAACTGTTGGGAGTACCGCTGAACGCAGTGGACAATCCAAAGGCAATGTGGGACAACGTTGGAAAAAATGTCAAATCAGCTGCACGCATGTGGAACCTCAGATATCTGTCAACCTTTGGTAGAGTTGCCGTTTGCAATATTTTCTTTTTGTCAAAACTAACATACCTTCTGCAGGTTATGCATTGTTCCAGAATAACAGTTAACGGGTTCAACAGGATATTTGCGACATTCATCTGGAGGTCACCGTATGAGCCAATGAGAAGAACAAACTTATTTCGGAAAATTCAAGACGGGGGGCTTGGTCTGGGTCACATCTTTGTGAGGCAACTAATTGCCAGATGGAATTTTTTTAGACACGAACAGCATCCTTTCTTGGAGATGTGCAAAAAGTTCTTTTTGGCAAAATACTTAGTACCACCAGCTGATGATTCACTAACCACAAGTAAAATATCGTTACGAGGATATTATAAAGAAGTAGCAGACACGTTGGAGTTCCTAAGAGCGAGGTTTGACCTAAGCTTTTTAACATCGTGCTCAAAAAGATTACCGGTAAGGAAACTTCTGCTTTCGTTGTTTCCGGACCCAATGTTTCGCCTGCACCCTTATGACCCTCCAAAAAATTGCAGAACGGATGTTCTAAAAAGAGTCATGAAAATGCAAATTCCTCCCAAGTGCAAGACTTTCTTTTACAGATTTCATTCACGTACCATACCAGTAAAAGAGTGGCTCGACTCCCGCGGCATTGGAGTATATGGAACCACCAACTGTCGTCTTTGCCAAACAACTGAAACGTTCACGCACGCTTTCGTTTTATGTGTAGACGCTGTCTTTTTTTGGGACGTTTTCAAAAGGACACTGAAAAAGGACTTTGAAGTGGTTGAAAAAAATTTTCGGTACTTACATTTTGCCGAAAGCCTGGATACAATCCAAGATGTTTTAGTTGTACTAGGCCTTTATAGCTTATGGAAGACGCGAAAAGTAGATACCGAAGCGGGAGCTGCAAAGCCCTCCTGGGTAAATTTTAAACACATAGCAATTCAAGTTGGCCACAGCATACTCGCATGCCAAGAGAACGATGAATGGAAAGAAATAGTTAAAAACCTCAGTCAGTCGCCAGATATTATATAACAGGCAACTACTCGTGGAGAACATATTACCGTAGCAAGATGTCACCCTTGCAAAGGTCACGCAGGTGCCCTACCACCTTAGTTAATTTACCTATCGCTTGCTTCAAAGTTTTTGCGTCATTGACAAAAATCGTCACCTGTATATATTGTACATAATTTGTTCAAAATTGAACACTGTTGATATTGTGTAAATAAATGTAAATAAATGTTTCAAAAAAAAAAAAAAAAAAATGCCCCAGTAGCTTAGTGGGAAAGATGCCCGCTTCACACGCGGTAAGACCGGGTTCGATTCCCCATAGAACTTTTTTTTTTCTTTTTTTTTTTTATATATTTTTCGATGTCTACATCTCTTTTTTTTTACAATTATTACTGAAGAAAAAAAAAAAAAAAAAGAAACAAATGTGGACGACACGTCGCTGAATTAAATGTTATGGGATTTCCTTTTTGACACCTGCGAACTCAATGTAATCACTTTCCACAAAATGCAAGGAGCATATAAATCAGGTAGCGTCCGCTTTCCGAGGTGCCCGTAAATGGTCTACAGGAATTGCAGCCAGCCGTTGGTCCCGATCCCGTTGATCTTTCGGAAACTCTGTCGCAAATGCCACTTCTGTTTCGGACGCAGGACATGTGAGCCAGCTCTTCACGCAACATCTTGGGTGTATTCTTTTCGGAACCGATCAAAATTCACCACGGGCACTCACTACTCATCTCCAACTCCTCAATGTACAAAACAACTCATCTTGGAGTACAGAACAACGAGCGGAACATACATAACTGCAAGAGAATTCCACGGCGAACAGTTCCCGTACGCCGCATTTCGTCTGCTACGGGAAGGAGAAAAAAAAAAACAAAAAAACACACGGTCGGGTGTAGCCACGTGACTTCCGCCACTCACTCTCTTCTCTCCACTTCTCCGACCTCCGTCGGGTTTCGGTTTCGAGCAGTTGCGTGTTTTGGCTTTATTAAAAAAATACGCTACTCTGTTGCAAAATATTAATAGGGTAGTCCTCCGACACCATAATAAAGCCCCTGGCAGAAAATGGAAAAAAAATTTTGGGGGGTGTCAGTGTCCCTTTAACGATGGGCTTCGATAGTATAGTATTACATCTTGGAGAAGGCAAGTTGCTTTACAAGAGGACTCCAAGCATTTTAAAAGATCTCACACTTCTTCGTTCTCTTGGCGTTCACCTGGAGAATTGGTGTTGAACGTATCATCTACATTTCAAGTAGCGGTGTTAAGGATGGCATTTACATTCTTTTTCATAATCCGGAAGTTCTTGGAACAAGTTTTTTCTCTCGCTGGATTAGCAGGCCAGGAGGGTTTTATTTTTAAAGTGCTGAAAGAAACAGCAGCATGATGGCGCTGACATAATCCAGTTACTTTTTGTGGACCATTTGTGCCAGGGGTTGCCAAGGTGTGGCTCTTTGCGTGTTAAAGTGTGGTTTGATGTCAAAATCAATGTTCGACAAAAGTTGGCGACACCCCTAAACGAGATGCCCAACCCGCGGCAAAAGCGAAACCACTCGTTGACAGTCTCTTGCTCCCAGAGTACACCTAAACCACTAGGGGCGCTGCTATCTTGCATATCGTAGAGCACTGATCTCAATGAGAATTGCTGGATCACACATCCCTACTCCATGAGTGAGGCCACCGGACGGCCATCTTGCATGCCGTTTTTTCTCGTTTTGTCAGCGTTGCAGAGGCCGGCGGCAGCGTGCTAAAGACATGCTTTCCATTCATTCGTTGAAGACATTCTTTAAGATCCTGTGTGAGCCGTGACACTTGCCGTTGAGAACACGTGGAAATTTTGACGAAAGCACAGTGTCACAGGAAAAAGGCACAACTCGACGAAAGCAAGTTTCGCCGGTCTCGCGGCGTGTTCAAAGCTTCCTTGGCCCGCCCAAGTGCCGTGTCTCTGTGCCTTCCCACACTTGAATACTGACCAAGAATCGATGCTGTGTGGATGTGTTTTGCGAGTGCAATGTGCGTTGGTAGGAATTTGTGTACCGCCGCCGATTCGCCATTTCCCACGTGGTCCGTCAACAACCCGAGTCCAGCCTGGTTCTTTCACGGGAGCGGGATTCCGCTCCCCGTTTACTGGTACAAAAACACAACGCTACAAAACACTCAACCTAAACTACAAATACACGCGACATTACACAAATATTTACAAACACACTTTAAGCCCAAAGCTAAACACAAAGAAGGCCCCCAGGCCTCAAGTCCCGCAATTACCCTAGATCCGGTCGCCACCCACTTGCCTACGTCTCGGTATCGTCCGGAGTTCTAAGAGAGGCTTTTCGCCCCCTGGCCCACCGAGTATATCTCAATCAATGGGCGAGAAGGTTTTTCCTCGCCTGCCACGGGGTGCCTGCAGCACCATCCAGTGGCTAGCAGAGAAAGCGGCACGTTGGGAGCCGAATTCGAGATCCCGATCGACCCCGCGGCGACACGACCATGTGATCGTGTCTGAGGCGAGGCAGCTACATAGCTGCCTCGCGGCCAAGATGGAAGAATGGTTTGATGGGCGCCCTCGTGAATGCATGGTGCGCCATATCGTGAAGCATCGTACACAACAATATCTGGAACTCTGTAGCAAGAAGCCCTACTACTTTGTTGCAGGTTAAGAAAAGCTGGACAAGATCCTCCTGCAAAGCCCTCCACTATTTCCACATTGACAAAGCGAACGCTGGAGAGGAAGCCTCCTCCCTGGCGTTCGCTCTGTCAATGTGGAAATAGTGGAGGGCTTTGCAGGAGAATTTTGTCCAGCTTTTTTGAATATGCATTAGAGTATACTTTTGACGGGTTTCTTGTCCCAAATAAAATGTTTAAAAATACAGAATAACCACGAAACATTCTAATGTTAAGGCCACTTTATTTGGAATGCAAGCATCACTTCATGCCCTTGAAGAGTTAAAAAACATACCTCATGAATGGCATGGAAAACAAACATTAGGACGGAACAGTGCGTAATATGGGTTCTCATACAGCTTTTTTTCTTTTGATTTTCTACTTGCAATGTGGCATAAAAACCCTTTGCTGCAATGTGTTTTCAACATTTCTTATCTCTAGAGGAATGCAACAGTAATAATAAATTGTTACATAGTATTTAATTATCTTTATCATTCTCAGTAAAGCATAATAGTAAAACTCTGCTGAAACTTGGTGGATAAGCAACTTGGATTGACCACAAGATCAAGTAAAATCCTTGAGGGTCTTTAATTTAGAGGCACTCACATAACTGCTACCCCATGAGTAACTTCAGTGTAATCATCTCATCATAAGTCATATAAGCAGTTCCATATTTTTTAAAATATATAACTGCTCATAGAACAGACAGAAGAAACGTAATTTCGATTGAACAGAAACCAACGGAATAACTTCCACCCAAAAAATTAAAAGAAACCTGTGAGACTAAAATATAATGCGTTATCACTACCTTATATTTGTACTATGTGAAACGCAATACCACTAAGAAACAAATAAAGCCGTGTACAAACATTTCTAACCACTATGCAGTGGTCACTACTCTAAATATTCCACAATCATTGTCCACCGAGACAAAAAAAGCATTGTCAGAAAAAGTGGTGTAGAAAGATAAAAACAGAAATAAAGTGGGAGCATAAAATGAGTGTAAAAAGTTGCACAAACCTTCAACATTGCATCAGGTGGGCCATCACTAAAGTCGTGACGTTTTGCTAGCAGGCCATGAAAACTGTTAGACATAAATGTACCTTTCAAAAGGGCACTGCACTTCCAAAAACATTTTGAGGAAAAAAAATTAATTCAATAATTATGTTGCAACAGTCTGCTAGCATGGGCAGGTTAAAAAGTACCTCTGTTTTAAAGAAAATGGCATGTTTCATGTCAAAATTGAATTTTGTGAATCGCCGATTGGCTGAAAAGAATGCGGAAAAGAGGTAAACCTGTGGCATACAATTTCTCCGGGCCTTTGGCCTCTGTACGCTGAGAAAAAATGTGAGATAAAAAGTGTCGAGGAGAGTGTCCCATACGCTGCATGTATGGCTCAGTCTGAACTACCGTATTTACTCGCACAATGAACGCACCCGCGTAATGAACGCACCCCCAAATCGGCTCTCAAAATTTCGACTTTTTTTTCACTCGCGACCCCCAACTCGGAGTCAAAATTTTGACCCCCTCCCCCCCACGCGCGCGAAATGAACGCACTTTTTTATCCTGGTGCAGCGAGGTCGCGAATGCATGGGCAGCGTGGGCGAACAAAGCGCCTTGCAGAAGGCGTTAAAAAAATTCGCAAAGATCCAACGGAAGCAAGAAAAAAAAAAAACATGGAGAGGAGCTTTTTTTTTGCACTGCCCAGTCTGGACTTTGGGTTCGCGCGCCGCCGAGCGCAAGGAGGTAAGAAAGAGAAGCGGAGAAGCGCTCTAAGCGAACGAAACAGCCTGCGAAAGGCGGCAAAAAGAAAAAAAAAAAAAAAACAAACCGCGGAATTAAGAAAAATCAAAAACAGAAAAAGCTTTTTTTTTTTTTTGCACAGGGCAGTTTGGTTACGGGGGTCGCGCGCCGCGCGCAAGGAGGTGATAAAGAGGAGCGGAGAAGCCCTCTAAGCAAACGAAGCAGCTTGCGAAAGGCGGCAGAAAAAAAAAGAACAACCCACGGAACTGAGAAAAAACAAAAGAAAAAGAGGAGCTTTTTTTTCTGCTTTTTTTTGCACAGCGCAGTTTGGTTACGGGGGTCGTGCGCCGCGCGCAAGGAGATGAGAAAGATTAGCGGAGAGCCCTCCTCGCCTAAGCAAACAAATCAGCTTGCAAAAGGCGGCAACCACAAAAAAAAAAAAAAAAAAACCCAAGGGATTAGGAGAAAAAGAAAACAAAGAGGAGTTTTTCTTTTTTTTTTTCACAGCTTAGTTTGGTTACGGGGTCGGGCGCCGCGAGCAAAGAGATAAGAAGTTGCTTCGATTTTTCAGGATAAAAGGTCCTTCATTATGCGAGTAAATACGGACGCAAAAATTTTACTTCGCGTAATGAACGCCCTAACTTTGCATCGATTTTTTGGAAAAAAACGGTGCGTTCATTCTGCGAGTAAATACGGTACATGCCGCGGCACATATATTGTGCTAATTTGTGACAAAAGCAGCTCATCCAGGTAGTTGATAAAGAAAATATTTTTGACAGTGCAATGTCCCAAATTGAGCAAACAAAAAAAAAAGAAGAAAAAAGCTCAACTTTTGGAATTGATGTGCAATCTCCGAACAGCAAAAGGGGAAGACGAACACAGTCACACAACAAAGAAACAACAACAAAAAAATTGTGTTGAAAGGCATGGCTGAAGACCTTTTTGAAGTTGCTAAGGGAAGGCAATATATTAATTGCAATAAGCTTAAAAGTGAAAGTATGTAAGAAACGAAACACACTACTATTAACAGCTCCTAGACGCTCCAACTTTCCACGGGCCTTCGGCAAAGACCGAAGGCCTTCGACGTTCATTTCCTCCCTTAATATATATTACACTAACAAGGGAGCCTGTTTCGACAAGTTTATCCGTGCATGTATGCTTGCTCTTTTTGTGCATAAACATTACGAAAAAAGAAAGGCCACAGCACTCATGTGCACCTTCCAAACATAACTTTCCGTGGTTACGGCCAAGAGCAGCGCTGATCAAATAATGCAGTAGCACACAATGCATCTATGAAATTATGAACTAACATAGAAATACATTACCAGCAGAAAGTGACCAAAAAGACAATAGTAACTCCATGTAAGAAGAAAATACGCCTGTAACGTACGCTTCAACCGGCAAAGCCTAGTGCGAACATTTAAGAAGCGTGCAATCTTGTCAAAACGTTTGACGTCGGGCACTTTTTTTTTTTTTCTTTAAGCCACAAGGTGTCACAAAGAAAGTTTTAACTTAAAATTGCGAGAAAATAACAACGGTGGAGGGACTTTGTCGTCTCACGGGACACTCTTGAAAGGAGAGATTCAGGAATTCGGTTGACGGTCAATGGTGGCAGGAACAGCAGCTTGAAGCAAAATGCACTTTTCATTTCTTGATAGTTGCTCTTTTTGATTAGTTGATTGCAGAAGATGAGGACCGCCTTGACCTTGCAGGACTTGGAGGAAACAGAAATAGGAAATAAAAATCAAAGATAACTAAAGACATCTTTTAACTACCACCCATGCCGTTTTCAATAGAGCGGCTCAGGATTCACGTTCAGGAGGAGTTTATTCCGGCTAGTAGTGCACAAGGCAGCCTCAATGTATCTAGATGTTCTGAATTCAAGTGCTATAGATTGTGCCCTTCCCCGCATAGCTCCTTTCAAATATGCAAACTCTTCTTTGCATCTTTATGGCCATTGTTACTTGGTTCCTTTCACTGATCAAAGGCATACTACATTCCTATATAGAAGTGCGTCCTTTATATGTGCGTTCATGATGCTATCTCCTATGTGCCAAAAGGAGAAAGGGGTATCACTTTTTAATTATACGTCTCACAATAAAAATAATGCGTCAACAAAAAAAGACCCCCAAAAACCTAGGATCTCAAAATTTCTATATCAAACAATTCTCAAAAAAAAAAAAAAAATCTTATCTCTTTTTTAAAGTATTTTTAATTGAGTGTAACACTATACTAGTGCTAGAAGAAAGGTCCAAACAAAATTAATAATACTCAGTCACATGTTAGGAGCACAGTGGATGCTATGCCACGAGCGCAAGCTTTTTGCCTTCGATAGAACTTTGTTGCACACGCACGCAAAGCATCTGCTGGATACAGTCAAGCATTATTATTACCCTCCCTTCATCATTATCGCTACTATATCAACTCGCTGTCTTAGGTTTACTGTCGGCCTGTGCTTCGAATGCACATATAGTTTCTCAATTATGCCTCGTGCCCCACGGAAGGGGCTGGGCGGCTGTGTGGGCAGGTTAAATAAAGCGTCACTACCACTATTACGTTCCTAATCTGTGCCGACAAGACATGCCCTTGCTTCAAAAAGTTATTCGCGCCTTTCACACTCATTCAGAGGTAATAGTGTCTGCGAAATAAGGGTATCTATACTCAGTTTCACATTAAAGGCCTCGTGCTGTGATGCAGTGATCAGTGTTTTTATCATTATGAAACATTACTTAGATGATTTGCACTACATCAGCTTGCCATGAGGAGGCAGTTTATAGTGATTTTATATTTACTCACAAAGGCTCTCCACGGCCATGTTAATTCTATGATTGTATTACAATCCATAGACTTCCATGTTCTGTCAAGGGTCAGTCGATATTCATCATTGTTTTATTCATCTTGCATGTCCCCTGTATCTCCTTTGTCGTGGATTCAGTTGGCCTTCAATAAAAAAACAGCACCTGGATATTTCATGTGCCTTGGAGATTTTACCACGCCTGTTCGCGAATGGATGACTGTCGCCTAAATATGGCAAGACGACTTGTGCTGAGTTGTGTTCCAGTAATCCTTAGCTGTTCTAGATGGCTGCCCAGCTAAAAATTCCTATTAGATCCAATGGGAATTCCAACTGGTTATAATTGGAACCACTTGGTTTTAGTGGGTTCCAATTGGAAGAACACTGGCTAATGGGTCTCAACAACTGGAATAATCTTTCCAGTTGGAACCTGATGGATTCCAAATGGTTCCCGTTGGTTCCCATTGGCAGTGACCAATTGGTTGTCCGAAAACCTAACAGGTACCAATGGGAAATTCCAATTAAAATCTGATGGGAATTTTCAACAGTGCACCACTGAGAAGACTGAAAAGTTGTTTGTGGGCACACAAAATAAAGAATTATATTATTATTACTGAATACGACCGCGGCCGACGCTACAATTAGACGGAGCGAATCAAGCGTATAGTCAAGGCACTAGTCGTCTTTGTGTGTCCGCTATAGTCGTCTAAGCCAGTTGTGCACAGCACTTCTTTCTGCATGCGTTCAGTTTAGCAAGCGATAGGAAATGCACAAAGAAGATGAGCGCCGCAATGATGCGCTTTTGGCGCTGTCTGATTGGCTCTATTGGATAGCAGCGTTGGCTGTGGCAGGACTAAACGTGAGCCGACCGAAGGCGAGAGACAAAAAACGCCCAATCCCGGCGCTTCCTCACCTCGGCGGCGGCGGCGTTCTGGGGGGTCGGCTGGGGGGTGGCGTGGACCTGGGGGTCACGTGCTTCCTGCCTCGCAGGGAAGAGTACTGCGAGGAATCGCAACAGCCGTAAAAGTCCTTGTAGGATGCGTCCCGCTCTAAGAAAGACTTAACGGGGTTTCCCTCTCCACATGAGTGAAGTGTGCACCGCCGAACGCTCAACCTCCGCCCAAAGGTGGTGCCAGCGGTCTGGACCAGGCGCCAATGTTTTACAACTGACCGTTACTTTGTTTTAAAAGTCATAAAGTAGGCAATTTCTTTTAAACTTTTGATGGAAAAACGGGGCTCGTTCTTGGTTGTTTGCGCCATTCGGCTCCGTGTATTCATGCCGTCGGCCATTACTTCACCATTGAAAGTTTCTTAAAATCGCTTATAACTATTCTGAAACTCTGGCACCTGATTTGGACCACTGGCAATACATTTGAGCGGGAACTGAATGTTCAACAATGCATAGTCTATTTTTGCAAAAATAAAATAAAAAATAAACAGTAAGCATTTTTTTTCAGGCTTCTAGAAAGAAATCCCAGAACCCAATTTGCAGCTCCCACCAAAAATAGCTGTTCGAAGCAATGCAGGCTAGACTACATGTTTTTATTGCTATGCGGCGCCGTTGTTTTGCGGCCCCTATTATAAATTTTTGCTCTCGATCCGATGAAAGTCGTCCTCCCTATTTCAAACATATTATCAATAAATTTTTTTTTTCTTTTTTTTTTTGGGGGGGGGGGGGGGGGGAACTGTATGTTTGGTATTTCTGTAGTTAAATAATATGTGTGAGCATGAGTGAATCTATGGCTAAAAGATGGCTAAGTGAACAAAGCAATCATTGAGTGAATGAATACTCAGCAGTAAAAAAATGAATGAAATGAGTAGCTAAACAACTTCTTCAATGAACGCTGTGAGAGAGCTAGTAGAAAAACAAAAACTTCTGGATCGATGAAGCTGTGCATCGAGGAGGGGTTGGAAAAGTACCAGAGAGTAATTATTATCTCGAGCTTCACCTCTTCAAGAATGAATCAAAGATGACATCGCAGAAAGCCACTTACAGGAGAACTCCCCCGTGAGAAGTTGCTGCTTGCGTAGATGAGAAGTGCCGTGTCTTTGTGGCCAGCCTCCATTGCAATTGTGAGTGCAGTGCTCCCATCCTGCAGACAGAAGAATGTCGTTATTGTAAAAATAAACAGAACAGAGATACTGATGTAACGCATATTGCCACATATAAGTCAGACTTTTCAGAAATAAGTATCTCAATTTTAAAATTACTCAAAAATTAAATTAAAAAAACAATTTGCATTAACCAAAGTATTTTTTTGATTGGTCAGAATTTGGGGGGTTCACTTATATTTGAAGTCTACCTAATGTAAAATACTGGGGACGCCCACCGCGCCTTCACTGAAAACTGGGTTAATCTAGACATGGGCACTTGTTCAATCAAATCGGGCGTTTAACATATAGTTTGCAAAATTCTAAGTTTGGAAAATATTAATAGTGGGCGCTTCCGCGGTATTTTACCGTTTACGTGGCAATATACAGTAATGAAGAAAAGTTAAAGTAAGCTTGTAATGCTGATACACGCATTTCAGGTATGAATACAGAATACATACTAATGTAGTGAAGTTATTTCCTAAAAAGACCTGACCCTGCACAAACAGCGCTTAGGGCAGAACTTCCACAAATCTAAAATCGACAAAACATGAACAATTAAAAAAATGATTAAAATGTTACAATTTAAGTTTCATTTTTTTTATTTTTGTGTTTATTTTGGCTAGGCTACTTGAAATGCTGAAAGTTTGCCACCAGCTTGCCCATGCTTTTACAGTGTTCCACGAAGCTTTAGAAGCTACACTGCTTGTTTCTGCCCTTGGTAGGTTAAATATGCACAATAAGAGTTTTGAGATAACAATCTGGTTGGGGCTTGCTGGTATATATCGATTAAAAGGTTAAAAGGTGCGAACTGAAACCACACATACAAGAAATACAACTTCTTTGGTCAGCAGATAAAGGGATCGCATGCTTACGCAATTGTCGGCCACTTTTTTTATACAAAAAGCTCTGTTTATTTCCCTTTGCCTCTCCTCCTTCCTCTTAAGAAACCTTGTGCGTTCTAACATTGGTTCACACCTGCATTGTGTGTTTCTTGGTAGCTGCAGGTGATTAGTGATAGGAACCTTTATCTTGTTTTGGGGGTGTCTATTGGTGATGGTGATAGACGGTTTGACCATGTTTGGTGTTAAATTCAATCAGTTGGAAGTTGGTGCTTGTCTTTAACGTATGTGTGTCTTTTTTTCGTTCTGTTTCAGTTTGTGCCTTTTAACCTTTAAAGAGTTTTGATGCTGGGCTCTCAGCTATGCAATAAACAAACCATGCAACATAAAAATGAAAAACAAAATCACTCAATGCCTTAGTGCAGCTAACACTCAAGCTAAGAACACTGTAGGTCCCTGCCTCGTCATATGCTAGGTTACTTCCAAATCTCAAAACGATTGTCTTTCTTTCTGAGCTTTGTAAGAAAACGGATAATACAACTTTTGCATAAGAGACTACATCCAAGTATAAATAGAGCAACTCATCACAAATTCTTCAATAAGTTCTTCAAACCAACATTTAGTATATTCTTTCTCAATGCCTCTTGGTATGCGGTAGAGACGGGGAACTCTAGTAGCTAGAATGATGTCTAGCTTGATGCTATAATGATGTCTCATTAATGTGGACATCTCCGTTCCCCTCAAAAATCATTCATAATGCAATTTGTCCATAATACCGAGACAAAATGCACATATTTATCCAGTTCGTCCCCGAAAATATAGACTCAACATAGTGGTGTATCCATATTAATGGAGTCCGTATTAATGAGATACGACTGTATAACCAAAAGACACATCTTTCGTCCACTCCAAACATCAATGGATACTAATTCCATTCTACCTTGGTTTGAAACCTCCCAATGTCAACACTAACAGAAATAGGACTTGGGAAACAGAATTTCAAGTTCTCATGATTTTAAAGATTTACTGAACATAGTATGCCTATAATGCTTTAATGCCTGGATTAAATTTTTTTTTAATGTTGAAATATTTATTTTGTATTGTTTTTCTGTGCCAGCATATTTAAACCATATTTTTCGTGCCTGTATGATGAGTGAATTTAGAAATTATCTCTTGAACGTGACTTACTTTTTTTTACCTCTCTCTTCAATGATCATGCAATTAATCATTTGCATCCTATGCTTCTTAAAGATGGAAAGAAAAAACTATGATGACTTTCGTTGAGCACCTGTATTTTCTAATCAATTTACTTGTTGTTTTTGTGAACATGTATTTTGTATTTTGCCTTCTACTAACATTTTATGCCTTTTATATGTTCTGTGTCCCATCCTTTGTGTAATGCCCTGTCAAAGGACGGGGGGGGGAACAATAAATAAACAAATAAATTAAAAAATAAAAGTGTCAGGTTCTTTTTTTCTGCGTGTATTAGTATATTAACGTGAAACATTCTTTGGCTAGTTGCTGAGCATTTCGTGAAACCCAAAAAGTGAAGCGCGACCGCGAAGCTCTATGCTGACTGGTTGATGGGGGAGAGGAGGAACGAGGAAAGCTCGATGCTGATTGGCTAACGAGGGAGGTCACATGGCTAGGAGAGGGTAACAAAGAGGTGTTCGCGTGATTGAGCGAGGGCGCACTGACAAAGGAGTGATTAGCGGTATTGCGTCATTCCAGGAACTGCTGTAAGTGGGGATGGTACGCATTAAGTTATCTTACGAAGAGCGCCGTTATTGTAGGTGTTTAGCTGCGCAGACCCTCAGTGATGAATAGCGTGATAAAAAATGATAGACATCTGAGATTGAGCACTAGAGACTAACCCCACACTGCAGAGACTAACGCCAACATTGGCTATAAAGTGTAACCGCCGAGCGATTAAGCAAGAATGTTTCACGTGCACAACACTATTGCCTAGCAATTTGCGGTACATTTTTTTTCTACGATAGGGCATACTTTCAGCAAACTTCAGGAGCTAAAGTCCTCAGTAAGGCTGAGCTCAGCCCGTGAACATCCAAATAAACTTCCACTCAATTCAATGCCAACTCACATTGTCTGCCAAACAGACTTCGGTGTCGGGGTGAGCAAGAAGGGCTCGGACGATTTCGATGTACCCATGCTCGGCGGCGCACATGAGAGCCGTCGAGCCGTCGTTGTCCTGGACGTTGGGCTCCGATCCGGCGTCCAGGAGAAGCTTGACCATCTCGAGGCGCCCGTGGCTGGCTGCCAGCATCAGTGCCGTCTGGCCGTTCTGAGCAGAAAAACAAAAGTTATGTTTCATCCCGTAAAATATGCTAAAAAGAAAATAAAGAAAGAGGAAGAGAACAAGATACAGAGCAGGTTGGCACAGATGACTTGAAACACGAAAGAATAAAGCACATAGGGACGGACACACACACACAGGACAGTTCTTTCAACTGTCCTGTCTGTGTGTGACCTAGCCCATGTGTTTTATTCTTTCGTGTTTCAAATTAAGGGAAAGAGAAACTGATAGCTAATTATGTTGATTGGCCTGACCCGGCCAACCAGCACTATTAGCTCCCAGAGTCCAGAGTAACTCGTTTTAGACAAAGAGGATGAAAAAGCGCAAAAAAGGTAAGAGGGAAGGACACTGTTGAAGAGAAATTCCTGCAAGGCAGGATAAGCTAAATAAATAAATACAGTGCACGAAAAAAAAAAAAAAGAAAACGTAAACTGAGAAGAGAAGTATTTAAGACTGCCGCCCATCTAGTGCGCTTCTCTCCTCGGTCGGTGCCTCTCTGCGCGCCATATTTCATTTTCTAGACACGAGCCAACTGACCAGCTGTGTCGCCACTTTAGTTAAAAGCATGCTGCTTACGTGTGGGCTCTTAAAGTGATGAGCTTAGAACAAGGCGCTCACAAAAATCTGACCTGTGTGGCCTTGGTGTTGACGTCACCGAGCTGAAACAACCGCTGCACGACGAGACGGTGAGTGTCATTTTTGATCTCAGCCAGCGAGACCAGCATCATGCAGGTGTAGCCAGCCTGCACATGACACCATCAAAAGAGGGATCATTAGAACACTGCAATACATGCACTCACATCCAGGTACAGTGGAATCTCAATAATTTGAACCCGAGGGAAACAGAGCTCTATTTGAACAATGCAAAGTTCGAATTACCGGGAGTTTTCTTCCTAGAAATACATAGGACGGGACCGTGTGTTAGTTTGAACCATCCGCGAGTTTGAATTAAGAGGGTTTGAATGAAGAGGGTTTGAATTAACGAGATTCCACTGTAATTCAGTACGTGACAACAACAGAAAATTGTGCCTACCGTAAAATCCTTAAAGATGCCCCACCCATGAATGGTAACCCACCCCTATTGTTGGCTTGATTTGCTATTTTCTTATAAACACCGAAAGATAGCCCACTCTTAGTAATTGCAGAGTTGGGATCAATGATGACCTCGGCATAAATGTGTCTAGTTAGCTATGGCGGGATATAAGCGAACATTGCTGACTGGTAAGTACAGTCATCTTTGCTTTATTGCCCCAACGTGATAACAAGTTTGGCAGGGACACATGAACTTAAAATAAGATTTTTTAACACTTTTCGTGACTGCACACCAAAAGTTAGCCCATTCGTTATTTTCACCCAATTTTCCCTCGATTTTAAGTGGGCTATCTCTCGGGATATTACGGTAGTTAGAAACGGCACCACCATTTTCTCGGCTGCGTCAGATAAAATGTGACGCCCGACACGAAAATCGCTCCCGCAGGACGGGGGTGTCCAAACCCGCCCACGGAAGTCTTCCAACCAGCCCGTGGCCCACTTCCAGCAGACCCACTGTTACCGTCCCGAAAAGATGTGCACTAAGAAGAACCGTGCCGCGATGCGCTCCAAATGCGTAAAAAGAGATACCAGAAAGAATGAGAAAAGCTGCGTCGTAACGGGGATTCCCTCGCCATGATTGAACATTGTCATCACCATGTATCACCATCCTTACTCCCCGGCTTCATGTTTGTGTAACTATGTCAAAATTCCTTAGCGCTCTTATGTACACTGTGTCCGTAGTTTTATCTTTCTCATTAAGTATTTCGCACTGTGCAAAGTTTCCATGCACTTTGATGTATGCTTGGTGAGTTTTCGTGGTCACAATTGTTGTGTAACGTCATATCTAGCTAAATATTAACTTTTGAATTCAACTGACATGTAATCTTTCAACTTATTATTACTTTTTTTTTAATACTTAATCTAACATTTATTTTCGTGTTTAAATTCTTAAGTAGGTTTATTCATTCAATTTTTTCTCGTTTATAATTACTCTTCCATTTTCCCGGCCCTCGAGACTGTGGCTGACGCCTAATACGACCCCTTTGTCAAAAAGTTTGGAGACCCCTGCCATAGGAGAATGTATACGGCTCTTTTTTGTGACCTTGAAACATTTCAACGAGAAAACAGTAATTTTTTTCTTTTTACTTTCCTGTTTTAGTGTTGCACTGATACTGGTTCAGTGTTGTACAGGGGCAGTTCAGCAAGTGCAGCGAGACCGCTAAACCGGGGTCTTTCATGTGCATTAAAGGACTGCATGCCAGTCAAATGCCCGATTGTTAAAACAAAGTGCCAAGGGCTGGGATTGAACCCAGCATTCCTTAGTTTTGCAGCATAAGCTCTACTCCCTACGCTCCAAGCCGTGGTGCACTCAAGCCGTGGTGCACTAACTTCTTCAGCAACTGACTGCCCCTTACCACCTTTTTTCCTATTTAGAGGGGCATTGCAACAATAATGGGTAGGAATGTTTCTCACTTTAAGCAAGCTTACTGCCACAAGTGGGCAGTAAGCTTGCGTAAAGTGCGTCAAAAACAAGAATACTCGAACGCAACGCCACTGACCAAGAAGCGTCTTTGTTGTGGCGGAATTTCAAGGATAAAAGTGGATGCTTTCTTTCGGTCTCTCCTTCGCAAAACTCGATGACGGATTTGTGGGGACAACGGCAACGACGAGATCCCTATGATTTCGCCATCATGCTTTGGGGTCCCCGCTGCGACATTTAAATGCGGCTCATACAGCGGACACAAGCACTGCGAAGGCATCCGATTTGGGCTCGTGACAATCGGTGCCTTGACATGCATTCGGGTAGCGGCTCGTGTCCAATCGCTGCAACAATGGGGTTAGCCGAAACTTAACAATGTGTGGAACTCAGCGTGCGCCCAGCGCTCTGCAGGCTCCAGCGTGTGACTATGTTAAACATTGGTGGCATTTAACTGGCTCCAGATCATGCAACCACTTGCTCTGGCTGGGAGTTGAGGGAGTAAACGCCGTTTGTTTTTCTCAAATTATTTTTCTGCGACTGCCTCTGCATGGAGAAACAATCAAGCATGCGTTTCATAGGGAAGAGTTTGTGTTTTCGGAGTATATTTATTGTGACATTCAGAAGGTGTTCTTCGGAGATTATTTTTCGCTGAAAGTTCGGGGTCTATCCGAGTTTACTTTTGTTAGATCCCCAATTCTTCAGAATTCAGAGTTTAATTTTACTCTGTTCTTATTTTTTTCAATACAAAAATGAATAATGTCTGGACAAAAACATACACATGCATCACATACCAATTGGGCACTGCCATTATAATTGGGATCTCGAAACAGATGCTAAAGGGAAACATTCCATTTGGGATAACCAATTAGAAAAATGTAACCCAATTGGTATCACTGGATACCAATTGGAAACAACTATCCCAACTGGGATGACCAGTTGGAAAAATGCATCCCAGTTGGAATGGCCAGTTGGTGGATTAGGTTCCAATTGGAAATCTCAATTCCAATTGGAGTCACCAATTGGAAAAATGTAACCCAATTGGTATCACTGGATACCAGTTGGAAACAACTATTCCAACTGGGATGACCAGTTGGAAAAATGCATCCCAACTGGAATGGCCAGTTGGTGGATTAGGTTCCAATTGGAAATCTGAATTCCAATTGGAGTCACCAATTGGTAATGCCAAAACCAATTGGATTCTGTGATTCCAACTGGGATTTCTCAGATTCCAATTGGTACCAACTGACTTTCCAATTGGAACCCATGGGTATTTTTAACTGGGCTAAATTCATAAAACAAAATCCCCGGTATCGAAACATGTTTCTGCAGCTGCATTTGACATTGCCACCCTTGCGATTGGCAGTCCTAATTGTCCCAAGATAAGTATTGAAAACAAGTGTTACTTCAATAAACATCGGTATTTTAAAATTTCCAAACTCCTGAACGCATAAAACCTTCAGCTGATCCTCCTCATCCCAGAAATCTACGCAAGACTGGAAACTGGAACAATAGTTCTTGTCGTGGTTTAAGTAGGTTCAGAAAACTTGTACTTTAATTGAAGTACCTTCACTGAGTATGTATTTGTACTTTACTTAAAGTATTTTTTTCTGGTACTTTCTGAGGAAAGTAAAACTTCCGACTTCAAAGTACATTCCCCAAATTTGGTTTCGTTAAATTTGTATCGCAAAATGATGCTTTATCAACTCTGAAGAAATACTGAGAGGTATATTCTACTCTCACCAGAAACGAGAGCAGACGACGCATCACTCCGTTTGTTCTGGGGGTGACTTTCTTGTAGCTTTTTGAACTCTTGCTATTTCTCGCTTGATCAGCGCAAACGAGGAGGTTAAAATGTTAGGAGAGCAATATTAATCGTAATGTAGCACCTAAGACTATGGTGCTGAAAAATGAAACTTTCAAGTAGAAGAAAAAGACAACAAAGGAGAATGTCACAATGTTTTGAGACATTTTCTTGTTTTTTTCCTTCGACTTGAACATTCCTTAATTTTTTCGCACAAGAATCTCAGGTGTCACATTATGATTAATTATCACCAGCTCGCATGCGACACCCACTGTTTTTTTCATTGAAGGGGACACTCCTCTATGAGAGGATAGCTTGCGGAAGCTACGGGGCTGACGTCATGCTGTCTCCCAGTACATTTAGCCCCCTTGGGTGCAACAAGCCCTTGCAGGTGGTGCCAAATTCAGTAGTCGGAGGGACTTCTTAATTTAGCGCCATTTCTGAGGTACTCTGTGGCAACTTGACTTTATCCAATATTCGCCGCCATTTCTGAAAACAGGTCATGCACCTCTGATTACCCTTTTGGCAATGCATACCAGTTAAAAAATCACTGTATAGGGGAATTAGAGGGCATCATAAAAGATTGTGTTAAAATATTTGCATTTAATTTACTTTGACAATATGCTGTATTTATAGTACTTTACTTCAAGTACACTGCACCCAGTGTACTTACTACTCTGCTTGAAGTATATCACCTCTCATTTACTTTGTACTCCACTTAAAGTACTTTTGAGATTTACGTTACCCAACAATGTCCAGAAGTACAGTGTGCTCAACTGTTAAATATAACTCGGGAGTGGTGGCCGAAACTGATATCAGAGCTGTCTAGAGATTTAATCAATGATGAGGCAGAGAATAAGGCGGCTCTTCTTGCGATTTTCGCCACTCCCCGATACAATTATCGCATGACCTCCTCGTTCCTTTCTTTATCACCCACGCTTTAAACTTTTACTTGTTTGCTTCGTTGCTTTTGCCACTCTGTTTAGTCACGCCCACGCATTTACCATGAGGAGGCAACCACATCTTGGTGATCTTGCAGTTTCTCTTATAAAGGCCACCTTCTTTAAACAGCAAAAAACAAAATCAAAAAGCGACATTTTTTTTTTTTTTTTTTTATCGTTGAGTCACGGATTGGTGATTGTTTCAGAGCTGGGAGTGTAACTCCAGAAAACAACAGCGGCATAATCTGCCAGAGTGAGCCGGTAGATGATGCATGCAGTCATTGCTCCCGCGTTACATTTAACAGTTGAGTACACTGTACATTGGCCCATTGTACTGAATGGACCTTGACGAGATAGACAAAAACTCCCCTTTGTCAATCGGCCCAAAAATTTTTTTAGGATCGCTAGCCCTGTGCTTTGATGAACTTTATTCGTAAATATGGTATTTTTTGGCTTTCTTTTTCCACCGTTACCTCGAAATTCTTAGTT